AGGGTGAAATTCTCATTCAAAATTGTCATCCACCGATGTGGTACTTTTGCCAATTTCAACACTATTAACTTTATTGATGTTACTAGTCTATGAAAAACCCTTTTAAATATTTTCTTCATTTGAAATCCCAGACTCCAGCTTTGTTCCGCCTCTGGTTTATGCCTTCATGGGCAGCTCGAGAGATATAGCCATAGGGCCTGTGGCTGTTGTATCACTCTTGTTAGGTACTCTACTCCGGAATGAAATTGATCCGACTACAAATCCACATGAGTATCTGAGGCTTGCATTTACAGCTACCTTTTTTGCTGGCATTACTCAGGCTACTCTTGGGATCCTAAGGTGATTAATACAATAAGTACCAAGTTTAGGACTTGTAATATCTTGTCCTTTCATTTCTTTGTTTCATCGGATTTAGTTGTTTTTTTGCTTATTTCTTGCTTTGCTTTCTTGGCAGATTGGGCTTCTTAATTGACTTCCTATCTCATGCTGCTGTTGTTGGCTTCATGGGTGGTGCTGCAATTACAATTGCACTTCAGCAACTTAAAGGTTTTCTAGGCATTAAGAAATTTACTAAGAAAGCAGATATCATATCTGTAATGAAATCAGTGTGGCATTCAGCCAACCATGGAGTAAGTTTTCTTGCCACTAAAGAGCATTTTACATAAGATGTCTTTTATGGATAACTTGAAATTTATTCAACAATTTGCAGTGGAACTGGCAGACAATTCTCATTGGAGCAACCTTTTTAACTTTCCTTTTGTTCGCGAAGTACATTGTAAGAATCCAAAGTTCTATGGACTAAATTTTGTAAGAATTTGGTAGCCTTTAATTTCCTTGGTTCTAAAATAACTTGGCAACCAGGGTAAGAAGAACAAAAGGTTGTTCTGGGTTCCTGCAATTGCGCCGTTGGTTTCTGTCATTCTTTCCACCTTCTTTGTCTACATTACTCATGCTGAAAAAAAGGGAGTCGCGATTGTAAGTGCTTGTCTTAGGCGCTTACTACTTTTTCATTTAATTTTTCTTTTGGAGCATAATGATCTATTTTTAATCATTTCTATGACAACCTTACCAGGTAGGACACATTGAGAAAGGAATAAATCCTCCTTCCGTCAAGGAAATATATTTCACTGGTGACTATCTTTTAAAAGGGCTTCGGACTGGTATTGTAGCTGGCATGATTGCATTGACGGTAAGCAAATTATTTAATGAAATGTTGAAGCAGGAAACCTTGACATATTTCTAATCGATATCTGATGTTTACCTTCTGTTTCATAGGAAGCTGTTGCAATTGGAAGAACCTTTGCTTCAATGAAGGACTACCAGTTGGACGGAAACAAAGAGATGGTGGCGCTTGGAGCTATGAATATTGTTGGCTCAATGACTTCCTGCTATGTAGCAACAGGTAAGACATATTTACAAGAAAATGGAGTATGAGTAAACGTTAATGTATTTTAACTTTCAACACATAGGTTTCATTTTTAAGCAGCCAAATGCATCAATATCAAATCATCTGATACACTATCATATGTAGATGTGTTATGCTCCATTATCAGGGAAACCTAATGGTGTAACAAGAATTCTTCAGTTATGCCATTGTCATTTTGTAATGGTTTGTGTTATGCTCCATTATCAGGGCAACTAATCGATCAACTAACCTCTTGCAGGTTCCTTCTCTCGCTCAGCAGTAAATTACATGGCTGGCTGCCAAACTGCAGTTTCCAACATTGTCATGTCTGCTGTTGTATTCCTAACTTTGGAATTCATAACCCCTCTTTTTAAGTATACTCCAAATGCAATCCTTGCTGCCATCATCATATCCGCTGTACTCGGCTTAATTGACTATGAAGCAGCAATTTTGATTTGGAAGATTGACAAATTTGATTTTGTCGCTTGCATGGGGGCATTTTTTGGCGTGGTTTTTGCCTCTGTTGAGATTGGTCTTTTAATCGCGGTAAGGGCATCCAACAACTTAACTGTTTACTTGAGGAAAGTTACCATCATTCAACAATCAGAGCTGATAGTATTTTATCATTAAATAGGTCACAATATCATTTGCTAAGATTCTCCTCCAAGTCACAAGGCCGCGAACAGCTACTCTTGGTAGGATACCCCGGACAAATGTATACAGGAACAGTCAACAATACCCCGAGGCAACAAAAGTTCCTGGTGTATTGATTGTGAGAGTTGATTCAGCTATATACTTCTCAAACTCTAACTACATAAAGGAAAGGTAGGACTCTTCCCCTTTTTATCCCCCCTCCCCTTCTTTTATATATTTATGGACTACTTCTAAAGTTAAACTTTTACTAATACCATGATATTAAGATGTGTGGTTTTCATTTTTTTGCCTAAAAGATAAGTCCTACTTCAATCTGAAGTTTATATTAACAAGAAATGGAAACTTGACAAGCTAACTTGTTATTCAGGATATTGAGATGGCTAATGGATGAGGAAGAACAACTAAAAGCAGCTGGCCTTCCTAAAATTCAATTCTTGATTGTTGAGATGTCACGTAAGTAGAGTTTACCTTTGTCGCTGAAATTAAGAGCATGTTATCCTACTTATTGGAATCATACACTTAGCGACTCATCGTGTTTCTTCTCTTCTCCTTTCAGCTGTTACTGACATTGACACCAGTGGAATCCATGCCTTGGAAGAGTTGCTCAGAAGCCTAAAAAAGAGAGGTGTTCAGGTAATGATCTTAATTAACTTCATAATTGCTATTTGACTAAATTACTCTTATCTTTTCCTTAAACGAGTAAAACTAATCACTATATGTCTTTTTGGAGTAGTGAGGTCAAAACCAACAAGTTAATGCCTCCTTGGCTTTTCAAAATAACATATCTTGGAACAATATTTTTGGTAAAGCAACAGATAAGAGGACCGTAGGGAATAGTATTTAACCTCAAAAACTACAAATTTGTGTCTAAAAATCTTATCTTCTTCATTTCTTGAACAGCTTGTTCTGTCGAACCCCGGAAGAGTGGTGATTGACAAGCTACATGCATCCAACTTTCCAAGTCAAATCGGCGAGGACAAGATATTTCTCACAGTTGCTGATGCTGTGCTAACCTGTTCACTAAAATTGCCTGAAGAAGTTTAACATTGTAAAGAATGGATGCAAAAGAAGACAAGGGGGGAAAGAAAAATCAACCACAAGTAGCATGAGGGACCAAAATTGAATAGAGTACATATATATAGAGTGATAAATAAAGGGACTGGATTCTATTTTTAGTAAGTGGTGGGATCCTCAGAAGTGATATGATACTAATCCAAAGCAGATGGTGGTCCTAGCCAATTGCGTAAGGAATTCTTATTTGTTTTTTGTAAAGTTTGTACATGTTAGACATGTTAGCCATGCTTTTAACTTTAATGGTTAAAATATAGTCGTCCATAAGAGTTTCCTTGTCTTCCTTGTTTTTGCTACAGGCAATTGTGTACTAATTAAACTCCTTTTGTGATCATAATCTGTAAAATATATGAGATGGTTTGCTGACAACATCTACAAAGTAAGTGGTTTTAGTTTTATAGTTGCTTTTTTTTTTTGGGTCCTATCCTTGTATAATAGATTGTCAGCATTTGATTATTTTCTCTAGCAAGTAGCAGTCATATCTACGATTCACGGATTCGGAAGCTACATGTAGATGACATAACAAATAATAGTCATAAGACATTAATATGTTTTTTTTTATTTTAAGTGTTTAACTTTTATATATCACGATTCAGGTCATGAAGTGACATTTTCTCCCCTTAGATATCCTCATGGATTAGTAAATTAAGTTCCTCATCGTTTAGCTTTACATTGTGTTAATAAATGATTTATCTGATAATCGTACAATCTAACATAATCTAGACAGCCAGCTCCAACGTAATCTTTGTTTTCCAATGGTTGCTTAGTAATTAACTAGGAAGAATTTTTTACTTTCAATAAACATCGGTAAGGAATACATATGCTGTCAATCAGTGAATAGCACTAAATAATAGTAGTGGAAAGAGATGAAGAAGATTTTCAACTCTTGTACTGAATAGCAACTACGTATATAGGAGCATGAGTTACAGCTCATATTTTATTTGGACATTCAATAAATACCAAGGCTAACCAATTGTTAGACAGACTAAGATAACAATGCAAGTATACAAAAAGAGTGGTCAGGCCTGCAGTAATTTCAATAAAGGAGCCTGCTATGTAAAGAATATTTCTGCTCAAACAAATGAAGACTACACCCTATACTCTCAAGATGCTACTATTTACACCTCGTCGGGACAAATTTAAACCAGTTGTCTGCCCAGCTTGTCCAATATATAACAGATTTTGAAGAGAGAAGCATCATCATAGTACAGGTTGAGTGCTAACTGCGCTGCTTTTCCTAACAGGCACAGATGCACTGGTCGGCAGGAAACTGTCCTAGAAGAAATGGGAGACAACAATTTGCTGGCAAGTTAGTTACAAGCTGCTTCATCAATTAAGCACCTTTTTTAGATCACTGATCAATTGCTCTCTCGTTGCTGGCTCAACCTGCAGACCAAAACATGAAGCTTGTTTCAGGCACCTTAAACAGGTAAAGATGAAATAGCAGTGGAACAAAATTTTGAAAAAGAGTCTGATGGCTAACCTTCTGTAGGAGGGAAAGAAGACCTTGTGGTAGAGCACGTAAATCCAATGTCGAATCGCCAATCTTTGATAACTGAAGTAGTACCTTTTGCACCCGCAACTGTTGTAATTGTTCCTCATAGTTCTTGGGGTCATTCTTCCATGAGAAAAAGGCTTCATCATCTATCCAAGAATCTACTTTGCCTCCTTTTGAATCCAAAAACCAGTTTTTCACCATATCCATAGCGGATTTGTAAGAAAGCTGGTCACCTGCAGCATTCCTCACAGTTTTGACCAACATCTCCTCCTCCACTCTTCGAAGCAGACGTCTGTAAAAGAATGAACGAGAAGTTTCCCAATTTACTACTTCTCGGATCACCCCCTTCGCGGCCATTCTTAATGAAGTATCATGCAATTCTGCAAACTTTGTAGCTATCTGTGTGTATACTGGCAAAAGCTGCGTCTCACGGGTTTTAATTTGCTGCTGTAAGGTCTCAACATTAGTGTACACTCCAGCGGTCCTGGCTTCCTGAAGCTTTAACTTGAGATTTATAAGCTGCTGGTCAAGCCTACCCATGCACTCCAGTAGTTCTTTCGTTCTGAATTTAATTTCAATCATACCTTCTGGCTCAAGGACATTTCCCCTGGCTGTCTGTTCTGCATACATTTCAATGTGGTCTGAATTGATCTTACTATCCACAACCACCCATGCCCCACCACGGAGTTCACCCATCATAGGGATGTAAACAAAAACAGGCTGTTTGTACGTTCTAAGGTTCTCGACAATGGTTGATCCTGCCTGAAGGATACCTTCAAAGAGATCCCTCTGTCCGCCGGAAAAGCCCCTCCAGTTGGCAAGAATGAAAAGAGGTAACTCCTCCCTATTTAAGTCCATC